TTTAACTAACTTCGAGCATTAACGTTGTATAATGTTGCGATCAGGAACGTGCAACGAGTGTACAGCTGCATCGATGCGCACTTGCTGATTGGCGCTCGATTCCGGTTATCGCCGGTATGGAAATGTTCCTAGGTGTCTTTGGACCCATAGGTTCTCAGACGATAGTGAGTGTAGGACCTATAGTATTTGTTGTTCTATGTTATTCTTAAGGTTCCGTAAGACTGTAGGATACTCTAATGTCTGATAGGGTTAGGTTAGGTTCATTTAGGACTCACTGGATCCCTTTAGGCACTTTGGGATTTAGTTAGATGTGGCACCCTTCAAAGAATCCGTGCTTTCTGAGATTCACTTAGATCCTCCAGGTTTTCCTGAGGTTATTACAATTTTTCTAGGTCTTCCAGAGTACACTTGGGTCCATTAGGATTCTTCTAGGTCCTCTAGGGTTACTCATAGGGTTCCTCAAACTGGGGTCCCCCAGATTCGGTGGAGTCTTCAACCTTTCTGTGATTTTGGAAACGCTTTAGATTCTAGGACTTCACAAACTCCCAGATTACCTAAACTCCTAGGATTTCCTAAACTCCGAGAAGTCCACAAATCCTTAGGATTGCCCAAAGCTTCAAATATCCCCAAATTCTCCATATCCCTCCACCTGGGATTAATCAAATATCTCAGACTCTAGGATTTCACAAACACCCTAATTACCTAAAGCCCTAAGATTTCCTAAACACCTAGAATTTTACAAATCCCTAGGGTTTCCCAAATCTCTAGAATTCTACAAACCTCTAGGAGTTCCTCAAAGCCTCAGATATCCCCAGATCCCTCCATCTGGGATTTTTCAAATGCCTCAGACCATAGGATTCCGCAAACTCCCATAGTACCTAATCCCCTAGGATTTCCTAAATCCCTAGAACTCCACAAACTCTTAAAATTCCTCATAGCCTCAAATATCCCTAGATCTCCCAGATCGACCATATCCTTCAACCTGCCTGGAATTCCTGAAATGCCTCGGACCATAGGATCTTGCAAACATCCATAGTACCCAATTCCCTAGAATTTCCTAAGTCCCTAGAAGTCCACAAGCCCCTAAAATTGCACATACCTCAAATATCCCCAAATCCCCAAATCCTCCTAATCTCCATAATGTCTCCACAACATTCCCCTATACTCAGACCTCATTATCACCTAGTATACCACCTAATAAAAAACCGCCTGCAAATATTTTCCACAAAAACTAACTAAATAGTAGCAAAGACTTTCGTCCGACATTCAGGCAAAAAATTCGGACGTCCATGGCGTTAAGAGTTTCGCCATCGAATCGGGAGTGGGAACGATTAACGGTGCAGCCGCGTTACGAAACAGCCCGAGAATAAACCATGAGGACACGAGGAAAGAAGGACGGAAGGAAGGGACGAGCGAGTTGCGTGGGCGCGTTTAATCGCGCGAGTTTACTCGCGTCACTGCGATACACACCGGTCTCGGTTTATTGTGCCGGCGACAAACGCGACGGAGAACATCAAACGGAGACGTCGCGCGCACGAGCTTGTTTACAACGCGTTTAGACGGACCCGCATGGCCTCATGCCTTTCTATCCGTTCACGATTCGTCTTGCTTCTTTCTTTTCCTTATTTGACGGGTTTGCGCGCCGATGGTGGAGAAGGAAATGAAGCACGATGTGGACGATTATGGGAGATGGATGTCTTCATATTTGGAAGTTAGATCCGATATTTGTGTTTACACAAGAGAGACATGAGAGACATCTTGCACTGGTTGTGAATCATTGGAGAAGATTCTCTCCCAAGGGATTTAGTAACCTAGAACTAGTAGCTAGGGAGCTGGTAACCTAGAGTTATTAATTTTTAAAAAAACTTGTCATCGGAAATATTAAATTGCTTGTATATGGACCATGTTGAAAACTGTGGTTGCATTTAGCTCTAGGTCACCAGAACGTCTAGTATTCATCTAGCAATGTATGGTCACACGATATACGACACTAACACATGAATAAGATACCGAAAGTATGAAATCATCGTAGCGTTCGAAAAATTGTAAAAGTCACGCTGCGAAAACCGTTTTGGAAGCTGGACGTCGAGTAGTTTCGAGAACCGGCCGGGTAAGAAAATCATGGCTGAAAAGGGACCAGACGAAGCAAAAAGGACACGAAAAGAAGAGAAACACGCTCGTCCTTTCGGTGTCTCGCGAGCCAACAGGCGCACCACACGGTTTTGATCCCGAAGGAATGTCGTCGGCCGTGAGAGAAACGAGGACCAGCAGCGGCAGCCGGACCAGATAAGAAAAATCAGCGACGCCAACCACGAAGAATCTATGCTTCTCACCGTGGCGAAAGTGAGCAGAGAGAAACCATCGTCAATCGGCCTTGAACCCACCGGCCAGGATCGCTGATCTCAGCCATGAATGCATTCTGATAAAGGATGTGGGCGTTCGTGAAAAACGAACAGAACGGAGGCTTCTCCGATTTTGCCGGACTCGTTCTGGGAATCACGAACCTGTATCTGCTGCGTATCTTTTGTTGCTGACGATGTGGAGAAGCATGGGATTGATCGAACGATCGCGGACTTGTGTAGCCTTTGTGATTAAACGTGAAGTCTGACAGCGGCTTAAGACTTGAGATTTACATTTGTTCTTTTTTTCAAATGACTCGTGAGAGTTGCTTTGGATGATGTCATTCAAATTTCCCGCCAAAAGTAGCTTAATCTTAAGTGGCATGTTTCAGATTCATTTGTAAAAGCTCATCAAATTTTCTTTATTATTGTATTAGCTGTATGATGTATAACTTACTTATTATTGAGAACGGTGTTCAAATTTCCCGCCAAAAGTAGCTTAACCTCAAATGAACAGTTTCAGATGTACTCATAGAAGCTTATTAGATTTTTCTTGTTATTCAATCAACTGAATGATGTATAACCTACTTGTGATTGAGAAAAGTGTTCAAATTTCCCGCCAAAAGTAGCTTAACCTCAAATCAACAGTTTCAGATGTACTGATAAAAGCTTATTAGGTTTTTCTTATTATTCAATCAACTGAATGATGTATAACCTACTTGTGATTGGGAAGAGTGTTCAAATTTCCCGCCAAAAGTAGCTTAACCTCAAATGAACAGTTTCAGATGTACTCATAGAAGCTTATTAGGTTTTTCTTATCATTCAATCAACTGAATGATGTATAACCTACTTGTGACTGAGAAAAGTGTTTAAATTTCCCGCCAAAAGTAGCTTAACCTCAAATGAACAGTTTCAGATGTACTCATAGAAGCTTATTAGGTTTTTCTTATCATTCAATCAACTGAATGATGTATAACCTACTTGTGACTGAGAAGAGTGTTCAAATTTCCCGCCAAAAGTAGCTTAGCCTCAAATGAACAGTTTCAGATATACTCATAGAAGTTTATTAGGTTTCTCATATTATTCAATCAACTGAATGATGTATAACCTACTTGTGATTGAGAAGAGTGTTCAAATTTCCCGCCAAAAGTGAACACTCGATGTAAACACACTCCTTTTCGATAAAACGATTAAATTACGTAAAAAAATGGTGAAAGATAAATGAACAGAGGAGTCCGTAAACTGTGATCGAAATACAGTAACGGTTTGCATGCAGAAAAAAATGGCGATGTCTCCAATTGTTGACACGATCGTATGATCATTACGTCCCGACAACCAGTGTCCTCCGCGTCTCTTTCACACCCCTCCCTCCGCCTCTGACGTAGCTTTTCTCCTTGGTTCTAACCGAGATGCGTCGAGCAACAATGCGCTCTCGTCTGCTCGGATATAACCTCGCCATTGTCCCCCGGACGGTTTCAAACGCGTTAGAAAGAGACGACAAGCTGTTGCCATGATATCCCGACGAGATACAGAATGTCTGCCCTGACTCTGTGGGCATAATGCGGACATTCAGACATGCAGCGCGACCGAACAAGAAATGTGTTGTCTCATCCCTTTTCACTGGTGCAAACTTCTATAATTTAACGATCAAGTCGAGCTTAGGCTGGAGCTTTCGGCCAGCGATTCCCAATGCCACCCACTGGGAGGCCTTTCGAGTTTTATAGTTTTCTGCTCTTAGGATGTTAGGATATTGAGCTCTTGTGGGTTTTGGATGTTAGGATATTGGGATTTTGTGGTATTAGAATATTAGGATATTGAGATTTGACTGTTGGATCTTTTGGATGTTGGGATTTTGTGGTGCTGAAATATTAGGATATTGAGATTTGACTGTTGGATGTTTTGGATGTTGACATTTTGGAACGTAGGATCCACTTAACTTCTGGACTTCGAGATATATGACTTTGGAACTCAAGATCTAGTGCTTTTGACTACTACCCTGGACTCTGAGACATATGACTAGGTCCTTTGAACTCTGGAGACTTTAAAAGTCCCAAAAGTGACTCTCAACCTACAAAACCTTGGACAACCCTGAATTATATAATAACTAGTCTACATGTGTAAGGATATTTCAAAAATGAAGTCCAGAAATGTTAGGTCTAAGAGTCTAAAACTTCCACATGTCCACATTGTCTCTCCGACCCACAGTAATTTTATTTCCACGTCCAAATCTTCAGAAAAATGCTTCCAAAAAACAGTTTATCTGAAAGAGAATCAAGTCCAACAAACATAGCCCGAAATACGAGGCCGTCCCATCAAGATCCCGTGGGTTACTCGTAAAACTCGCCTCGAGGATGCATCGCTGACTGGCAGCTCAAAATACAACGATTCCAAGAACGAATTGTCCAATTTCGCTCAACAAACAATGCGTAATTTAGATCGAGCCGAGACAACGTTCCTTCTTCGATTAATTGCGAATGTTTTCGTTCGTGTATCGTGCAGCGACGACAACGGCGTCGTATATTTACCCGAGCGGGCACGAACCTAACCTAACTGCCTCGCAGAGATTGAACGAAAGAAAAATCGAAGAGATATATTCACAGCATCGAAGAGAAATTTGCAATTTGATTTCGGGTAATTTGAATGTCTTTGAGGCACGTCGGAAAATGGAAGGCACGATATCGACCGAGTACATTTCTCCCGGCTATTATTCCGAGCAAAGCTCGGCCTTGCACTATCTTTGCCAACTCTGGCCAAGCCTATTTATAGGGGAAGCTTTGAAAGTCGACGTCCAGGTCACGCCGGACCCTGAACGCCGAAATACTCGCGCCGCGAGTGCATTGGACAGTGTCTTCGCCCTCTTTGCGATCGACCATTGCCAGAAGCTGACGTAACGAGGAAAACGATATCAGGTGTTCGAAGCCTTTCTTGTTACTTTCCTTTTCAATTTTGTATTTTTGGACCGAATTTAATTCTACTACACTACCATAAGTATCCGGACACCAGCGAAATATGCATTCGCGTTGCATGAAAGTTATTCAAGTATCTACAACAGTAATTAAAATCGACTTTTTTCTGCGAAGGTCAGAATACTGGAACGTTTTTCGATTAATAATTCTCGTTTGGAACTCATATCTCGATGGAAAAGAAGCTACAGACGAACTAAACCGAAACTGTCGAGTGCGTAGCGTTACCTCCATTCTTATCTCCATTGAGGGAACCTAAACATCTACCAACAGTTTACAAACACTTGAAACATATCGAAGAACCCTCTGAATACGTTCTGCACCATAGAAATGAAACACAGTAGAAATGAAAATTTTTTTAGAATCGAAAGCGTTTCATTAGATTCACAAATTTGGACTTTGTACTTCTGGACATGAATTTTACTTTCACACTCTCATTGTATAATTTGTACTTAAAAATTAATTCTATTACGTTATGACACCTCAAAAAAGATTATAATAATTATTACAAATGATATGATAACCCTAAATACCTTTCGTACAAAGTTCAACTGTGTTTTATGTAACGAAACCAAGTGTCCGGATACTTATGGACGGTAGTGTATATAGCTGACATCGAATTATTTTATTTATAACCTTAAGAGGTTGCAATTTCGAATGTGAGGTTATGTCGGTCATGTTAGTCACGTGGTACACATAAATGGCGGCCCTATCGAAATGGCGACACGATGCAAAAGCATTCAAATTCAAAGTACAATATAACTCTTGAAATCTTGAGATCGCATTACTAAAAAATGAAGGTGACGGTCAGTTTAAATTTGAAGGATAAAATTGATTTATAGACATAAGACTCCTAAGTGATTTTCAAGTTTCTCAAACTTTGCAGAGTTTCTTTATTCCCCAAATTTTTTAAATAACAGAAATGTGACAATTCTGAATTTAACTATTAGTACAGACACATGGGTGGATCACATTACTAAAAAATGAAGGTGAGCGTCAGTTTAAATTTGAAGGATAAAATTGATTTATAGACATAAGACTCCTAAGTGATTTTCAAGTTTCTCAAACTTTGCAGAGTTTCTTTATTCCCCAAATTTTTTAAATAACAGAAATGTGCCAATTCTGAATTTAACTATTAGTACAGACACGTGGATGGATCGCATTACTAAAAAATGAAGGTGAGGGTCAGTTCAAATTTGAAGGAGAAAATTGATTTATAGACATAAGACTCCTAAGTGATTTTCAAGTTTCCCAAACTTTGCAGAGTTTCTTTATTTCCCAAATTTTTTAAGTAACAACAATGTGACAATTCGAACACGTGGCTCACATTTCAGGTCGACAACACAAATGTCATTAGCGAAACAGAAATAGAAATCGGCGAAAATGGACCGTAAAATTTGAATCAACATATCTAGCAGATAAATTGTGAACAATCTATCGAGCGATAAAAATCGTTTGCAGGGAGGTTCTTTGCCGCTGGAAGGCTCATGGTCGACGGTGCCAGAAGCAGCGAACGACACAGCTCGATAATAAAGACGAAAATAATCGGACCGACTCGACCCATTAAACCGGCCGCCTCGGGGCCAACAGTTTCATTAAGCGTTTAATCGTGGAAGATATGCGCATGCGACCTAGTGAAATCATTCTCGAATCTGGAAGAGATATGTCGTACACGTATGACTTCATTTCGCGTGGATTCTCAGGTGTATCGACCTCCATCTACTGTAATCTGTACAAGTAACCTGGATACACCGGGACTAATCGATTGTAACCTAAAAGAGATTCAAAGTTGATGGAGAATTAGTGAGAAGGACATTTTGTTTTTGGGTCTTAAGGACGTGTAAAGTGAATGTGAATCAAACTGTAATTTGAATTGATTTAGAAAGAATAAATACTAGTTGTTGTTTTTACGTAGTTGGGTCTGAAGTTAACTTACAATCTTAGACCTAACCTTGCAAGGTTATGTTATGTTTTGGGTCTGAAACTTAAGGACATGCAAACTTAACCTAAAAGTGATTCAAGACCATTCATGACGTGGATTTAATTACAGAAAGCAAACTTTAGCTATGATTTTTGTACAGTCTGAAGTTAACTTACATCCAGACCTAACCTTGCAAGGTTACGTTATCATGTTCTGAGCCTTAACCTCGATAACATGGAAGCTTAACCTAAAAGTGATTCAAGACCATTCATGACGTGGATTTAATTACAGAAAGCAAACTTTAGCTATGATTTTTGTACAGTCTGAAGTTAACTTACATCCAGACCTAACCTTGCAAGGTTACGTTATCATGTTCTGAGCCTTAACCTCGATAACATGGAAGCTTAACCTAAAAGTGATTAAAGACCATTCATGACGTGGATTTAATTACAGAAAGCAAACCTTAGCTATGATTTTTGTACAGTCTGAAGTTAACTTACATCCAGACCTAACCTTGCGAGGTTACGTTACTATGTTCTGAGTTTTAACCGTGATAACATGGAAGCTTAACCTAAAAGTGATTCAAGACCATTCATGACGTGGATTTAATTACAGAAAGCAAACTTTAGCTATGTTTTTTGTACAGTCTGAAGTTAACTTACATCCAGACCTAACCTTGCGAGGTTACGTTACTATGTTCTGAGTCCTAACCTTGAGACCATAGTAACTTAACCTGAATGTAATTCAAGACCATACGCGTATTTAATTACAGAAAACTTTAACTCCAATTTTTGTACAGTCTGAAGTTAACTTAGACATAAGATCGAAACCTAACCTCGAACAAAGCCAAAACAAGATGACCAAAGACAAACATAAAAAGTTTCAAGATAAACTTACAACCTAACCTAACCTTGTAAGGTTCAATATCGAAACCTAACCTCGAACAAAGCCAAAACAAGATGACCAAAGACAAAAAGTTTCAAGATAAATGAAAAGTTATTTGAAACAACCGGGCCACAGGGAAAATGACGTAACCGAAGATAAGGAACCATGTAATTACCGGGTAAGTATCCGTGTAAGGAACGAGTGTGTTTAAGATTTACGCCTGGTAAATCGCGGCCAGCTGCCTTGGCCCGCATTCCACGTCCTCGAACGTATGTACGTTCGATGCTTATCGACGCGTCGCAAATATCGTCCATGTTAATTAGACCTCGGTTCAAACCTGCCATGTGTTATCAACTTCGTTACGTTTGGAATGCAACTACCCCTGGTTCAAACCGATAACTCTTTCATTGACATTAAAAAATTAATTTATCATTTCCTTCTGTGCCTTAATCGAACCGTAATGGCGCCATTAAATCGTTCTATAAGTTAGTTTACAGCTTTCTTCTTTACCGACACGCGCAAAAGGTTCGAGGACTAATAGTTAGAAAGTATTGTTATTAAATGTATATTTAATATAAATATATGTTTATTACGTATTAATATATGTTGTCAAAGTACATCAAAAGATAATATTATATACAGAAAATTTATTACGAGTATATTTCAAGTTGTTAGAGATTGATATGAAAGGGGATTTGCTCGGAATTCAATGCGTTATTAATTCCACGCGTCGTAATTCCATGCGCTGTAATTCCTCGCGCTGGAATACCACGCGCCGTACTTCTACGCACTGTAATTCCACGCATCATAATTCTACGCGTTGTAATTATACGCGTTATTAATTCCATGCGTCATAATTCCATGCGCCGTAATTCCTCGCGCAGTAATATCACGTGTTGTAATTCGATGCGTTATTAATTCCACGCGTCGTAATTCCATGCGCTGTAATTCCTCGCGCTGGAATACCACGCGCCGTACTTCTACGCACTGTAATTCCACGCATCATAATTCTACGCGTTGTAATTATACGCGTTATTAATTCCATGCGTCATAATTCCATGCGCCGTAATTCCTCGCGCTGTAATATCACGTGTTGTAATTCGATGCGTTATTAATTCCACGCGTCGTAATTCCATGCGCTGTAATTCCTCGCGCTGGAATACCACGCGCCGTACTTCTACGCACTGTAATTCCACGCATCATAATTCTACGCGTTGTAATTATACGCGTTATTAATTCCATGCGTCATAATTCCATGCGCCGTAATTCCTCGCGCAGTAATATCACGTGCTATACTTCTACGCGCTGTAATTCCACACACCCTAATTCTACGCGTCGTAATTCCACATGTTGTAATTCCACGCGTCATAATTCCATTTAAATTTCCCGCTCGTTAATACAACCAATAAAGCGACAGTTTTCGAGACACACAGAGTGTCGACTCTGTACTCTATGGTTTTGGGTGCGTGAACGTCCATCCTTATAAATGATAACCTTGGTATGTAATCGATAATTATTAAATTGCAATCGGTATACGCACAAGATAGCATCGCACAGAAGCGAAAGGATTAGGTAAATGCCAACGGGACGAGTAATACTAATCGCAGGAATATAGAACCAGTTTAAGATGGCGTTAGCCGCGCAATTATCAAGTATGCCTCTCGTAATCAACGAAACGACGTTTAATGTCGAGTCGATCGCGGCGATAAAGCGCCGTTAAAGGTTGTGCCGGTGGAAACACGGGAGTTTCAAATGCGCCATGACCTTTGAAAGGCGCGATCACGGCGAACGTTGCGGTGCGCGTCGGTCACGAACCGGCTAGAAACAACGAGAACCGAGTATCGATCTTGGTATGCGATACTTTTCGTAAATTTTATTTTACAAACAGTTGAATCTCGAAATGGGGTGAAAAGGGGCTCGATAAAAATTCAGAATATCATGTTCTCCCCTTACAGAAAATCACAAATACCGAGAAACCGAGTCGCAATTAAGCGAGGGGATTTCGGGGACGAGGGTTTCATCCCCTGAAGAGCGGAAGCGCTTGAAAAAAAGCTCTCGAAGGTGGGCTTGTTAAGAGACGATCGATAACACGGTCTCTCGATCCACTCGCGCTTTCGCGAGACGAAAGAGAAAGACCGGTTCTTCGTGTTGCTCTTCGCGAGGTTCTATGCCAGCAGGTTCCACGGGCACAGGAGCAACAATTCGCTATACAAATCACGTTTACCCTATTTTTCGTTTGAAAAATACTTCGCTGAAAAATACTTGGCCTCGTACCTTCGTGTATCGTTACACGAAATCGCACTTTTGTGATTAAATCGAAAATTCTAAGAGAACGGTCAAGATTACCCGTAATCGCGATTTCGACAAAACGAAGAAATGAAGGTTTAACCACCGAAACAATCGTGCCTACAGAAACCTGTTCGAGCGTTGAATTGTGCGGTGAATTTTCTTCGTTACAGTGTAACCTGTGGCCGCCATTACGGTGCACGGTGCACCGTAACGCATCGGCTGTCTATACTTCTACGCGCTGTAATTCCACACACCCTAATTCTACGCGTCGTAATTCCACATGTTGTAATTCCACGCGTCATAATTCCATTTAAATTTCCCGCTCGTTAATACAACCAATAAAGCGACAGTTTTCGAGACACACAGAGTGTCGACTCTGTACTCTATGGTTTTGGGTGCGTGAACGTCCATCCTTATAAATGATAACCTTGGTATGTAATCGATAATTATTAAATTGCAATCGGTATACGCACAAGATAGCATCGCACAGAAGCGAAAGGATTAGGTAAATGCCAACGGGACGAGTAATACTAATCGCAGGAATATAGAACCAGTTTAAGATGGCGTTAGCCGCGCAATTATCAAGTATGCCTCTCGTAATCAACGAAACGACGTTTAATGTCGAGTCGATCGCGGCGATAAAGCGCCGTTAAAGGTTGTGCCGGTGGAAACACGGGAGTTTCAAATGCGCCATGACCTTTGAAAGGCGCGATCACGGCGAACGTTGCGGTGCGCGTCGGTCACGAACCGGCTAGAAACAACGAGAACCGAGTATCGATCTTGGTATGCGATACTTTTCGTAAATTTTATTTTACAAACAGTTGAATCTCGAAATGGGGTGAAAAGGGGCTCGATAAAAATTCAGAATATCATGTTCTCCCCTTACAGAAAATCACAAATACCGAGAAACCGAGTCGCAATTAAGCGAGGGGATTTCGGGGACGAGGGTTTCATCCCCTGAAGAGCGGAAGCGCTTGAAAAAAAGCTCTCGAAGGTGGGCTTGTTAAGAGACGATCGATAACACGGTCTCTCGATCCACTCGCGCTTTCGCGAGACGAAAGAGAAAGACCGGTTCTTCGTGTTGCTCTTCGCGAGGTTCTATGCCAGCAGGTTCCACGGGCACAGGAGCAACAATTCGCTATACAAATCACGTTTACCCTATTTTTCGTTTGAAAAATACTTCGCTGAAAAATACTTGGCCTCGTACCTTCGTGTATCGTTACACGAAATCGCACTTTTGTGATTAAATCGAAAATTCTAAGAGAACGGTCAAGATTACCCGTAATCGCGATTTCGACAAAACGAAGAAATGAAGGTTTAACCACCGAAACAATCGTGCCTACAGAAACCTGTTCGAGCGTTGAATTGTGCGGTGAATTTTCTTCGTTACAGTGTAACCTGTGGCCGCCATTACGGTGCACGGTGCACCGTAACGCATCGGCTGTAACAGCTTCACGGCGCTCAATGGCGTAATTGCGTTACCGCGCTCACGTTATTAGCATAATATTCTATAAAGAGCTCTGATCGTATCGGAGGCCTAGGCGCTATTAAATCGCTCTCTAATGGCGATTATTCGACGTCGATAAACCTTGGAAATCTTTATGGGAATTACACATATTAATATTCGACTTTTACTATTTATAGAATCTGAAACTGTTCAAATTAAAAGCTTATGAGTGAACAACCTAGAAACTTGTACTAAATAGGCTGTAACCTTGAATTGGTCCTAACCCGTTCAAACCTCGATAAAGAATAGCCAGTGCAATAACCATAACCTGACAGTGGCTGAGGATCAATACTGTTACCTTAAACCCGTTCAAACTTAACTAAACTTGTTCAGACCTAACCTTAACAAAGTTACGTTACAAAGTTATTAATGGTAATAACCTAGAACTGATAAAATAGTAAACCTGGTACATCAACGACCCAGCTAAGGCCTAACCTTAACGTAAGGTTTCGTTACAAAGCATATGAAGTATAACAACTATATAGAATTAATCCAATATATACATTATGTCGGACAAATAAGGGAACTTTTTAAATAAAACGAAAAAAATTTGTTATTTTGTCAAAATTAATTTTTGTATTCAAAATACATTCGCGTCAATACACTGCTGGGCTCATACAACGTTAACATAGATTCTTCATGTCGTTTTGCGGAATCGCTTCGAACACCCTTATCACAGCTGCTTGGACTTCTCTTCCTACGAAGAGATTACGGCGCGCGGTATAGTAACGCGGGGAACTACGGTGCATGGAATTACAACGCGTGGAACTACGACGCGTAGGACTATGACGCGTGGAACTACGACGCATTGAATTAATAACGCGTGGAATTACAACGCCTGGAATTGCGACGCGTAGAATTATGGTGCGTGGTATTGCAGCGCGGGGAATTATGGTGCATTGAATTACAGCGCGAGGAATTACGGCGCTTGGAATTACGACGCGTGGAATTAATAACGCGTGGGACTACGACGCGTGGAACTACGATGCGTGGAATTCCGACGCATGGACTTACGACGCATGGAATTAATAACGCATGGAATTACAACACGTGGAATTACAGTGCGTAGAAGTACAGCGCGTGGTGTTACAGCGCGAGGAATTACGGCGCATGGAATTAATAATGCGTGGGATTACGATGCATAGAACTACGACGCGTGGAATTCCGACGCATGGACTTACGACGCGTGGAATTAATAACGCATGGAATTACAACACGTGGAATTACAGTGCGTAGAAGTACAGCGCGTGGTGTTACAGCGCGAGGAATTACGGCGCATGGAATTACGACGCGTGGAATTAATAACGCGTGGGACTACGACGCGTGAAATTATGGCGCGTGGAATTAATAACGCGTGGAATTACAACGCGTAGAGTTATGATGCGTGGAATTACAGAGCGTAGAAGTACGGCGCGTGGTGTTACAGCGCGAGGAATTACGGCGCATGGAATTACAACGCGTGGAATTTACGATGCATAGAACTACGACGCGTGGAATTCCGACGCATGGACTACGACGCATGGTGTCGCAACGATTGTGCTATACTCTTTTCAGATAAAATATTATTTTAATAGACGGCGTTTTCCTTAAATTTGAAAAGTTCCGCTACTTTCCCGACATACTGGAAGCATAACCCTACTGTTAAAATACCTAACTCTAAAATTAATCCAACATACCCCGAACTATCAGTGAAATTACAAGGAATTAAAATTCTGTTAGTTACAAAGAATCTTAACAAAGCCAACCGAACACGACAAGCCAGAATATTAAGACAGAATTTACTCAGCAAGATAATTATAAACGAAAGTTCAGGTTATTAATGGTATAATCGATGGCAGTTTCAGTTCCAGGTGACTGTAGCTATCCGGCGAGCGATCGAAGGAATTTCAAGTTAATGACAGAGGTCCAGGCGAAATAACAATCGCGTGTTCATCGGTTGAAACCTGAACCGGCTTCGGAATTAACGATTAGGAAATGAACGCGACGGGGAGTCGCGGAAATTCGAAGTACCCGAAGGAAGAGGAGGCGATTGTGTTTCAAGGATCGGTGTAACGCTTCGAATAAAGCCGAGAGAGGACGGTACGAGATACCAGTCGGCGAAAGGTGGGAGTGGCAAGCAAGGGTCGCGTAAAAGCCAAGGTAAAACGGAGTTAAATTAATCTTAAGCCCACACTCTACGCGAGAACGATGTTTCTTGAGGAACTCGATTCTGGTCATTGCGCTCGAGTTAATTTCGATCCGAAGATTCGATCTTTCAAGTCTGAGACAAATTTTTTTATCTCTGTGAGCTTCAGGTACTTGCTCTTGGGCCAATTTTATAAATCGTTACGGTGACTCTTGCTAGACTCGATTGCACCAAGTCTACCATTTCTTTTTCGAATCTCTGGAACCAGGTTGGTATACTATAAAATCCCCAGTGGATGTCCAGAAAAATCACTATACACTACCGTCCATAAGTATCCGGACACAAGTGAAATATGCATTCGCGTTGCATGAAAGTTATTCAAGTATCTACAACAGTAACTAAAATCGATTTTTTTTCTGCGAAGGTCAGAATACTGGAACGTTTTTCGATTAATAATTCTCGTTTGGAACTCATATCTCGATGGAAAAGAAGCTACGGACGAACTAAACCGAAACTGTCGAGTGCGTAGCGTTACCTCCATTCTTATCTCCATTGAGGGAACCTAAACATCTACCAACAGTTTACAAACACTTGAAAC